TGTTCTTCAGCCTTCTTCAAATCCTCAGCCTTCTTCAGTTCCTCAGCCTTCAGTTCCTCGGCCTTCTTCTCTTCCTCAGCCTTCTGTTCTGCGGCCTTCTTCTCTTCCTCAGCCTTCTGTTCTGCCGCCTTCTGCTCTTCCTCAGCCTTCTTCAGTTCCTCGGCCTTCTTCTCTTCCTCAGCCTTCTGTTCTGCCGCCTTCTTCTCATCAGCCTTCTTCTGTTCCTCGGCCTTCTTCTGTTCTTTAGCCTTCTTCAAATCCTCAGCCTTCTTCAGTTCCTGCGCCTTCTTCTCTTCCTCAGCCTTCTTCAGTTCCTCAGCCTGCTTCAGTTCCTCGGCCTGCTTCTTTTCTTCAGCCTTCTGAAGTTCTTGGTCTTTTGCCTTTTCTTTGAGCCGTTCATCTTCTTGTTGCTGCATCATCTGGGCTTCCTCATCGATTCTTTTGTTGTACTCCCCGGATGCTTTCCTCAGTTCCTCAATCTCCCGCTCTTCAATCTGTTCTTCATCAACTTCTGCATCTTCCTCAAAAGTTTCCTCCTCTTCCTCTTCCTCCACCAATACGATGCAGTCTTCATCCTCGTGCTCTTCCAACTGCTCTTCCTGATCTGTGTTTTCCTGCTCGCCATCTTTCTTCTCATCAGTAGACTTATTGTCATCAGCCTGATGCGGTTGGACCCGGTTGGAGGGATTCCGAACAATACAGAATATGGTGGGTTCCACCACGTGCCTTGCGAGGTCTTCTAGTTCGCCTTTGAATTCCCGCATCCTGCGACTAGTGAAGACTCTCTTGTTGCAATATGAATGGCGGCCATATGAAATTAAAGGGGGTCCTCGAAGATGGCACTGACCAAGGTCTTCAGTTGATGCATAGGACCATCTTTACGCCTGACAGAAACAGTGGATTTCTGGATTTATTTTGAAAAGAATCTAGTAGCCTTCCGTTCTTGGCCCTCCGGTAGTAGGTAAGCATCCTTGAAGCCAGTAGACGATGAAGACCTCCTTCCTTTTCGGCCCAGTCCTGCTATGAAACACTATTCAAACAAATCCCACGCTAGAGAACAGGTGAAGCAATCTTCCTCGACCGCGGGTGTGATCGATCGTTCTGGAACAAGATGATGTGTGATTGCAATCTCTTGCAAAACCTCCTGGACGATGGATAAGCAAAAATATGATAGTTGATTGAATCATTTCTCAGACCCAACCTTGCACTCTTTCTCCGTGGGCTGGTTGAGTGCGAAGGTTGGTAACCAAGCGCTCAAAAATGAAGTATTCCGCTTGCATTGCACCTGCAAAGTCACGCAAACATAAACATTAGAACTTTAATGATGGTGAAAAAAGCCAGGCTTACATAGTCCTCCGTCAATCCTTTTTTCGGGTGGACGTCGATGAAGGAAAATGTGCAGGGCACCTGGCTTGTTGGCTATCGTCGGACCAATCTTGAACGGGCTGAATAATTAAGCAAGAATGCCGGAAACACCTTTCTCTCTTGCATGATTTTTTCGAACTTGGCCGCTGGGATGCCTTATAGCTTAGATAATGCGTAGAACCGGTCTTCCCTGAAGGTTCCCTCCAGCTGCTCTTCATATATGTCCTGATCATTTTGGAGCACTGTTTACCTTTTTCCCCAATTCTAAATGCACCACAGTCCTTCAGCAACTTCATGCGCGTTTTGTCAGGCTTGACCGTGGGCATCTCAAGATCGCTCCGGCAAACCCACAGAAAAATGCGTGCGGGGACGGTGGTCAGCACAGGCGGCTTTGAGCAAAGAAAGACATACAGAATCAATAAGAGATATGAAAAACCTGAGTTGCGTGTTCTGGTCCAGTAAAATGTCTGAAAGCTTGGGTGGTGCCCACCTTCTCCATCTAATCGAAGCTCCCGCTGCCCTGGGCATGTCGGTGATGTAGCTGAACCTATTGTGGTTTCTATTTCGAGCTATAGGACGATCTAGGGGTCTGACGCTTTCGAAGTGCCTTCAGCATCGATCAATCCATGGGAGCAGCCGGGTGAATAGATTCTCAATGCACCCCAACAGTAAGTGTGAATCATTGATCTTTATGTTGCATCAGCCCCATGGTTTGGATGTGTTTCTTCGATTGGAGCCAGCTGAGTGCCAAGTGGCGAGTAAAGTATGTACATTGTGTAATGTCGCTGTTTAACCAGGGAATCTATAGACAAGGACAACGTCGAAGTTTACTATAGACATTGAAGATCTGGGTATATATACATAAGTTTTTTGGGGGCTATAGAATTCGAACATATATAGTTTAAACATGTGTTAAACATGATATAAAATGATATTTATAGCTGCTAGACCCCGCAAGAAAAACAGCTATTAACATCATAAACAGAATATGACAGAGTCTACGTTCCTTTTCCAACTCCCAAGCCCTTGCCCTCTCCGATCAAAGGCCTTGTCCTCTGAAATCGACCCTTGAGACATCATCGCCATCGCTTCAGCAGCGGCTCCGCTGCCCGCAGCGGGGAAGCGTTATATAATTGAGATCCGCTGTCGGAGGTGGTGCATCATTTCAGTGGTTTTCCCCAAACAGTGTGGATACACTTAGCGGTTCTTACGGTAAGGGTTAAGCACCGGGTTTTTGAAGTGGTTCTTCTGTTTTTTGAGGTGGTGCTTTTGAGGTGTTTTCTCTGCGGGAACTACTTGGTACACTGCAAACTATAACACCCATAATTCACATCCAAGACCTGGTTTCTAGTGAGAAACAAGAAGCATCGGAAAGCATTCGAAAGGTTCATGTTCTGCTAATTTCTGAGCCATCTTGTTGAACCAGTGCTGTCTACGGTTGAGTGTTGACGCTAGAAGGGAAGTTGTTGTTGTATTTTTTTTGCGGGCTACTTGTTGGTTGCTGCCGGTTGAATGTGCCTTCCGTCTAATGTCTGCAGCTGAGCCATAGCCGAAACGATGCGAACCATCAGCTGGGCTGGACAAGTTTACACTGTTTACACTGCTTGCCCTTGCAAGAACCCATAATGCCATAGGATCTGAGCAAAAGAAACATATCATATCATGGTGAAATGATCCAAGAAAAATACCAATTTTGCAAAATAACATCATCATCAAACCAACATGCACTGCAAAAATGCACTGCATGAGTCAGATCGACACAAAGTATGACAACTCCACCCTTTCCAGCAATGAATGAAAAGTGCTCAACTTCCAACCCTCCTTTTGCTTCGCGATGCTTGCCATGTCTTTTGGCTGCGCATCCGCCTTTTGGCCACGCAACAGCTGCTCCCCATCGAACGCGCATCGATCTGCATCAATTGCGACGCAGGATCGGCAGCGGGGGGCTCGAAACCTCAACGCTCGGACGTGCGGCATGTCTCATTGAGTGCTCAATGACGAATCGAACATACCAAAACAAAGTCGGTATGAACATCACAAAAACCGGACAGATTTCCAACTTTTTAAGTTAAAAACGGTATGGACATGATTTTGGCGTATTCTGTCTAAATTGTGGTCAAGACGAGTTCAATGTAGGCAAATCAAATCATTAGGTGTTTGAATATTTTCGTGCAAATCGAACTATTCAAGGGTCACAGGGTCGGCATCCAAGCCGTTTTTGAGGCCATGAGCAGGCCATCCATGTAACCATGAATTCAAAAAGTGCCAGGGCCCGGTGGATGATGCATGTTCAGTTGCAGGCCCTAGGGATCCAGTCGTACCTTCTCAGAAGGTACGACTGGACCCTCCTGGCACCTACATAACAGTGTCTCCAATCACCTTCTGAGAAGGTACTTGGATCCCTAAAGGATACCAACTGTTGCAGGTGTCCTGGGACAAAACACCAATGTATTCTAATGACCGGCTGCACAGGCTGCACAGTTCCAACCTGTTCCAACATGTTCGGGGCCCCCATTGGGAACTCTAATTCGGGGTGAAAATACAAAACTAGGACCCCCGCCAAGAAAGAGTTGAAAGGGCTGATTGGTGTTTTATGGTACTTTTGAAGTCCTTCCTGAAGGTGTTTGTTCCCTTCCTTAAGTGAGGGTTCTTCCTCCCTGAAGTGATTGAAACTCTTAAGAACTTAAGGCTCCAAGTACCTTCTAAGAAGGTGTTTGGGTGGGTTTAGAGGGTCCAAATATGTTCAAATACCTTCTCAGGAGGTACTTGGAGCCCTAGGGTTAAGAACTGAAGGTCTTCAAGTGGCAGGGCTTCCGAAGTCGTGCATCCTTCCAAGCCAGAAAAAACACGAGCTCCCACTTGGCTGTGACACATGCCACCCGTCGACAGGTGGTCAATTGGAAGGATAAATAGTCGTCATATGTCGTGGTCAGGGGCCGACGAAAAGAAACATCGGTCAATTGGGTGGTGCTGGATCCAGCTTCTAGATCTACAGTGGTTTCAGAGTAGATGGCACAAAGCCAATGATGTCTTTTGGATGGGGATCCATATACAAACCACCTTTTGGTGATTGTGCCATCTATATTCTCAATCCACTGTAATGATCCCCCTTTGATTGGTCTCCTTTCATCTCCTTTCCACCCTCCTTGCCCGCCCGCGTGCTCGTGCGCGTGCCCGCGTGCGCGTGCTCGTGCGCGCGCCTGACGAACGTCGAGCTCGTCGAAGTAGGGCAGGGTGGGAACGGAGCTGCTTCCCATCGGGGCGCTCCAGCTGATGGATCTCGCCTGAATGATCCATGCTCGACGAGTGTGGACACGCGCTCCACACGATCCACACGCGGGTGAGAAGGTGTTGGCGTGCTGGTGTGCTGGTGTTGGGAGTGCTTGGGCTGCATGGGGAAACAGGGATGATGTTGGTTCAAACATAAGCAGGCAACATCACACTGCGCATGGAGCGCAAACACAACTTTACAATGCAAACGACGTGTCTGCGGATCTTTTCGAGGGAAGGAAAGCCTCCGCGTGATCAGGACTGGCAAAACTCGTTCAGAGCTCTAGATCGTGAGGAGCTGAACCCCACAAATGACAAACTGTTCAAACATGTTCAAACTCAATTTACATCCAACTCATTTGTCCATTGCTTCAAGAGAGTTTTGAAGACGAGCTCCTGGACCTCAGTTGACATGAATCATCTCAAGTCATCGGCTGCAGGAACTTTCAGGAAACTCATGTCATGTTTGGCCCCGTATAGTGAGCATAGCCCATCATGCCCAAACCATTCCAAACCCAGCCGACTGAATGACCAGGGCCACCCACTCGGCCCTTTGTCCTGTCCCTTTGTCCTTTCCTTCGGAATCGGAAAAATCGGCCACGAAAGGCTTGCCCAGCGGCGAAGAACAAGGATTGGCTCGACTTCGATCGGATCACCTCAATTTCGATCCGAGATGGACGAGCTGGACGGGCGGTGTAGCTCCGCTCGCGCGACGCTCGACTCGACGTCCCTTTTTGCGATGCGGGACGTCTACGCTCCACAAACTCACCATTCCAAGCTCAAGATCTCCTTAGTTGAGTTGAGTTAAAGATCTTCATTAGTATTTCTTAGTTGAGTTGAAATAACCCACAACTCATCAGCCTCGCTTTGAATGAAAAATGCTCAAGGCTCTCATCCCCTCTCAACAGGCAGTGGCTGTTTCACCTGCGACGAGGGCGTATGGCACAGATGTTGCCTCATCCTGAGCTCCCCACTTCCACCGTCCCGTCCATCATCTCTACATCCACCATCCTTGGTACTGTCGCGTCTCGGATTTCAGAGGATTCAAAAGACATGGAGACACGGCCACACGGCCAGCATTCTTCCTTCACATCAATATCCACGCACTCCTCGACTTGTAAAGCAAACCAAGCACCAGAAAACACCGTAGTTGGATCCCAAGAAAAAGAACCAAAGACCCTGGCAGCACCATGCAGGGAAGCGGTCGAATCTTGATGTTAGGATCACCATGATGTGAACAATCCATGCCCCCCCAACTCCTCCCCCAACTCCTCTTCCGTCCCAAACCCCTCGTTCCAGGCGGCTCGGACAAGCATCGCGAGGACCCGAAGCTCGCCAAGGCCTCGCAGCACGGTCGACGCGCCCACGTCGGCCGCGGCCGCGGACGCCACGGGTTCGGTCGACGGGTCGACTCGGGCACCTGCATGACGGAGGGCTGGCGCTTGAAGGGCACCTTGAAGGAGTCTTCCCGAGGTGCCTCTCACACGGCGTAGAGCGTGCGAGCGGCGTTGGAGTCATTGATGGCAAAAAGGATGGCAGTTGGCTGCCATGGATTTCATGGTTCTTCCGTGTCGACCAGTTCACACTTCATTCTCCAACCTGTTCAAAACCGTGTCTCCCCAAACTGTTTTGAGGGTCTTCGGATGAAATGTTCAGTGCCACATCGTCACATTGGTGACTTGGAGGGAGTGTATGAAAATGGGTGCAGGTCTTGGAATGGAGGGTGACCTGATGGGTGTTTTCATGAACATTCCCAGCAAGTCCAAAGGACGGGTTAAACGGGTGTGTTAGCGTAAAGGACGCATTTCACCTCCCAACTTCCTAATGTTCACAGGTTTTTCACGGCCTTTCAATACACACCCCCAGATGGGTTTTAGGGCCCAAAAGGTCCAAAAAGAGAGCTCGACAACACTTTGAAGATTGGCATAGATTGGCCAAATGTTAGCACGTCTTCCAGCTGTTACGGTATTTCTCTGTCCCTCCTTTGGCCTCCACTGGGCTCGACAAATCTGAAGGCCTCAGCTATGGCGCGCGAACCAAGCTGCGCAGAACTCGTTCTGCGCCAGTCGAGGACAGGTTCGAAGCGTTGGGAGTTTTGGGGTGGTTGAAGAATGTTGAGGTGGTTTATATGACCTGTCTTTTGAAGCGGCTTTTGAGGTGGTTTGGCTCGACAGGTGACCTAATTGCTTGGTGCAAAAACAGAAGCAAAATCCCGGCTCTTCGACGACGCGAGCAAACAAACACACACAAAGAAACACATGAGACCGTTCCACGAACGGGCGACGAGGATCGGAGGAGCTGCTGGAGGGATACACCTGTTGAACGTGTTTCCCATCCCGGATGGATCCTGGATGGAACCTGGTGTGGCTCGAGACCAGTCACGATGTACGATGTACGGATCTTTGGGCAGGCTTCGTCGGTCTGAAACCCGCAGGTGAAAAAAAAAGGCCATGGAGGTATGTGCAGCAGCTGGGTGTTCACTAGATCGACGTATATCATCGCGTATATGCCATGCCTCATTGAGACCTGCAAGTTCATCCTGAATCTTGGATCATCTTTGGTTACCCTGCATGGAGTGAAACAAACTTCTTTTTCTCAGCTCGGACGATCCCGGAAATATGTCCAATCGCGACCGGTTCTATACATTGGTGTTGGAGAGTAAGACTCATATATCAGACCCGTATCAGCAAGTATTTTTTTGACTTTGGGGCCCGCTTCACTAACACCCCCAACCACCTAATCTCGCGCGTCAGAAAAAGATCAAACAAACCAAAAACGATGTTTCATTGAAATGGAATGGTCTGAATGATGAACAAACCCATGCATCTATATTTAATTGAAGAGATCTCAGCCAGTTCCATGTCTAGTTGGGTTCGTCCACGAAACTCCTGGAGCGGAATCTGCGGAGCGGCACGAAAAGCACCGCCCGAGTGGCGCGGGCTTGGCCGGCAAAGGCCGGGTATCGCGGTAGATGACGAACTGCAGCATCAAGGTACTCACCAAGGTCCAATTCAACATCCTGAGCAAAGAATCAACAGCTTCGCTGCAGCGAAGTATGATTTCTGGGATTCATGTATGAATGAGTTTTGTTTGAAACCTTCATGTAATTGTGGGGGTGTTATTGCACACTGCAGCGACCTCATGAGATTTGACATGATTCTACCAGCGAATCACAGTCCGTCTCTATGACTTCTTGGAGGTGACATCTTTGGTCCAGGCTAGGCGGCCTGGGCGGCTAGGAACCATTCCCTGAGCCTGAGCCATTGCCAATCTCGGGATGACATGCCTCTCACATGTCTTCTGTGGTGCCACCATCTGCGGTCACAAACGACCACTTCTTACGACGACGAATCACACGACGTCTGGTGGCCCAAGGCACATGGTCAACTGCAGTCCGAAGTCATCCACCTCCACGAAGGTGGTGTACAACCGCGCACAGGTCCTCTGCGGTCCCGCCGAAAACGCGCATGTCGCATGTCGGGCAGCACAGCAAGGCATCGTTTTTGGGGTGAGTCGCAAAGGATGTCGTATAGGTGTCGCATGCATCATGGGTTTTGTAGGTCCCAAGTCTATGCAAGGGGGAAAGTAGGGACAGTGTTCCAGTTCCACTTGGAAGATCTTGCAAGACCTGGAACTGGAACTGTCCATAATTATACTTTTGGGATCTTTTGCGGATACTATGGGATACTGTAGTAAGATCTTGCAAGATCTTTTCCAGTTCCACTTGGAACATTGTCTTTGTTTTGGGGTGATACTTTTGGGTTATACTCAGGGCTGGCGATGCCAATGGCCAGGAGTGGTTTGAAGAGGGGTCAATGGGCGGCATATCACCCATGACATGGATGAGTTGGGCTATGTAGCCCACCTCTCCCCTAAAGACTACCAGGCAAAATTGGAAGACCTATATGACTACCAGGAGACTCCAAGGGGTGTTGTTTGGAATGTAAGAGGGTGGTTGATATAGACGCCCCTGTGGGCACCAATTTGCACCTCTTGGGATCCTTCAGGTCTCCTGGTATCTTCCATTAACCCCCGCGCAGCCTGGTGGGCTAAGACCATCGTCCCAAACGGCTCGTGTCATGTGGTGTGATGTCGTGTCGCCCACCCTGGCAGGCGAAGAAGAAGTCTCGACTTCAAACGACTCTCCCTTTGGGCTTTGAGTGACGTCACGAGTTTTCTGGTGGCTCCTCCTTTTTTGGTGAGAAGTACGTGACACAACTTACTAAGCCATGCAGCAATGGTGTTTAAACTTGTACAAGCCATGCGGCGCAGGAGTGGATGAAAAATCACACCATCACCCAGTTCTTGGGAGCTCCCTCCGCAGCCATGCCACTCCACTGGCCCCACTTTGATCTATCCAAGATGACTGACGTATCACGGGTGTACTCGGCATACAGCTGGTGCATTGGCGATGGCCCCACTTGATCAACTAAAAAAGAATGGATCTTCCTAATAGGACTCCAATCGCCTCCTCCCTCTCCATCAGCCGGCCGGTGATTCGCAGCGCAGGATATGCCAGGAGACCCACCGAAAGTCATCGCAGTGACCAGCAAGGACAGCTGACCTGTGGACTTGTTCTTGTAGTTGATCACCACCTGGATGCATGCTCCAAAACGTCCAAAAGGCTTCTGAATTGGTTTCCGTGACCACGAACTAATTGTCGGGTGGGTATTCTTGCCGCAGCTCAACTTTAGAACATGTTCCAGAAAAACAAAAAGATTGCTTCATTCAGGTCACTTTATACCTATAGGTGCGCTACCCAGCAAAAAACAACACCTTGGCTCAAGTCCGATTCGATGCGTGATGCATGTTTTCTTTGTTCGATCCTCTCCGAATTCACCGCTGAAACACTCTTCGTCCACAAAGACTCTTCGGAAAACGAGGTGTCCCGTGAACGGGACCCGTTTCGCCGGTCTTCGGTTCGGTCCGCTGGTGACTCCAGGTGACTCCGGCTCCAAACGAACTAGCGACGGCTTCCAACCAGATATCCGGAGGACGAGGACTTGGCTCACCAGTCCTGACAGGTGTCTGACAAAGCCCGAAAGATCAACCCAAATCGACCCGAATCAACCAGATCTCCACCGTCCAATTATTGGAGATATACTGGTTGATTGGGGGTGGAGATATATTGGTTCCTCAATTGAGATGAATTTGCCAAAAATCCACCATCTCCACCATCCAGCTAAGCTAGAAGTGCTTCATCTGAACAAACGTGCTTCATTTCATCGGTCCACATCTCTTGTTCAGCGCTCGGATCTCATTCTCTCCGCCCACTTCCTTGAAACTCAAGAAACCTTACCTAAAGCCAATGCTGCCCAAGGTTTGTTCAACTTCTCGATGCTTCAAAAAGTGTCTGAGCACCCCCAGATGTCCCCAAAACGCCCCATCCACGCCCGTCCCCGATCGATGAACAAAAAGAAACAGAACAGCCTGAGGAAGAACCGCCACCAGACCGAACAACGCATTGGTGGCATATGCAGCTGTGGTAAAGCTCGAGGAGACCTCAGGAACCCGCGAACCAGGCAGAACTGGGCCATCTGAACTGGCAAAAACCACCCTGGCGCTTTTGTGGACTCCTCTCAGAGGCTTCTCCTTCTGTTCTGGCTCAAAGAAGAACTCAATAGAATACAAACAAATCTCTTGAAAAACACTATATGGTTTCCACATGCCACTCTCAATTCTTCTCACACACTATAGAATCTGGAACTTCGACGATCCTTCACAAAGCTATCTATTCTTTACAGCATGTAAGAGGGTGAATCCCAACTCCGAGCCATGGCGATCACTGGCATCCTGAACGTCCGACGTCCGGTCTCTCGACACATGGAGAGAAGCCCAGTGGCCCAGCCCAGAGCCATGGCGATCACACCCAGAGTCACACACAAGTCTGCCAGCCTCGGAAACTCTCGCGACGGTCGGTCGGAACCACGAAGACCGTTCACTGACTGCTCTGTGCCGAATCAACGGTGGGACACTCGACCGTCTTGCTTCGACCCAAAAGAGAAGAAAAAGGGGGGGTCGAACACATGGGGTCGAACACATGGTCGAAGTCCTTGGCTTTTTTTCCGTGCTCACTGGGAAGTCCCACCAAAGAAATCAGCCCCCGGTGGCCCATCGGCCGTGGGATGGTTTTGGATTGATGTGCTTTTGGCCCGAGAAGCGACACGCGCCCAGGTGTGATTCCGTCCATTTCCGTCTCCCAGGAGACAGTTTTCGCTGGGACTTTCGACGCGCCAAATTGCAGTCCCCGGTGACTTGCCAGGGGTGATTTTTCAGACGTGAACACAACAATCCCAACTACAGTAGGGTGGACGTGTCACGAATGTGTTCCCCAGATAAGTTTTAATCGTTTAGAGTTTAGACCATCAAAACAATATGGTGGTTCGTCCCTTACAAGGACCTTTTGCACCACTCCCATATGAAAAAACAACATCAACAATACAGAATGTCAATACACAACGAAGTTTACACCAGGTCTGTAAGTCTGAAGGAATGATCCCACTTCACCTTATGGTAACTTAGGGGCCCGGCCCTACAAAACACACAGACGAAAAGGGAACTTGGCTATTGAATGTTTGGCAGCTGGAGGCTTGGCTATGAGGGACCGATAAATGCAGAGAGACAAGCGAATATGAGACCACCATCGCAAAAAGTCTCGACTTCAACAAGATCTTGACTTCAAGATTGATGCCGAGAGGGATGCGGTTGAATTGCAAGGAATCCCAAAGTTTCACCAAGCAATGTAGACTGAAGAGGCTGCCCACTTCAAACGGATAGGGTTGATCAAGAATCTACCTTCGCATCCTATATACTCAGTCGATGGAGACTTCAATGGAGGCGCTTCGTTCCCTCCTTTTCCAAGCGATTCCCATGTTCAGCTGCGTCACCAAACCCTCAATCCAAGATGTCCATCAGCCCATGCCACCACGACAGTTAGTAGCAGCAGCTGGGGAAACAGAATCGCCTGAGATCGAAGGAGTTCAGGGTTGAGGTGCTCTCTCTCTCTCTCTTCTTCTCTTTCTCTTTTGCTTTATTAACCTAGCTGACAACCCCAATAACAAAACATCCACCAAGATCTGGCCCATGTTTCCTGCGTGTGTTGTTCGTTGCATTGTTCTTTCACATACCGAATATCGAGGACAATTCTTAATGCACAAATCACGAAATGCAATCCAGTAGTTCGGACACAAATTCACTCAAGTTCAATATCAAACAAATTGTCTACTCAGACCACGAAGCACTTAAGATCTCCGATGGCCGAATTCTAAAACAAGTGTCTGCACATGGTGTAATCTGAAGAACCGCTTCGAAACAGCGCAACTATATTCCCACCCATCGTTTTTCGGGCCCGATTTCACGTTCGTTCAATACACACGAACACCTGTCTAAAATCGGGTATTTTATGCTCAAAAGCCTCACCTTTTTAGACAAACTCTCTGCAGTCTTAAAAAGAGAGCCTAGTGCGCAATTTCTAGACAAGAGGGTGTGTAAACAGGGCCGCCTGATATGTTAGATAAACAATGATAAACATATCAGTTCTTATCTACCAATTTTCTTTTAAACTCGGGTTCTATGATTCTAGATAAAGTTTGAAGCGCTTGTGCACCTTGTTCTAGAAAGAGTTTGTTGTGATTTTTTGCTGTTCTTTGGGCTGCAAGTGGCTTTCCCAATCATGTTTGTTGTGGCAATCATCCTCAGGCACCTTGATTTTATAGTAGCCTTTTATAGCCTTGTTTGGCCTCTTACATGTCTGTAATGCACTTTCTTGCTGCGAAACTATTCCTACCCAAACAGAAACTGAAACGGGTATAAATGAGTTCATACAACTGACGGGAAAATACTCTCACCAAAGTAGAAGGAACATGTTTTGAAGGACGAACGCACAGTTTATACGCGAAATGTGCAATGACTGCGGCGGACAAAGAGCCCGCGCTGCATTTTTGCATCCGAATAACATACACCGAAAAACAAGTGCCAGCAGAAACATATACAAGAAAGACATGGGCGCGCACAGCTTCCACGCAAACGTGAGACGGTTCAAATGATGTCATATAGGGAATCAAAAATATGAACATGACAACAACATACCACTGTACTACAAAAGGAAAAGATCATGTGTTGTGTGTTTTCAATAGTTCTACGATGGTTGTACCGGAATAAGCCTATACGTAACACAGCCATAGCAACTTTATTTCATAACTTGTTTTGGCAACTTTCAACTTTGTTTGGTAACTTTCAGTTTCTTTCAACAACTTCATTTTTAAGTTGCAAAGTTTATATACAACTTCTTGTGAGAATTACAATGCTCAAACCAGGAAATAAGTTTACAAAAAATGTTATAGTGTTCAGTCAGTGTTCGGGCGACAAACGGTTGTCTTTTATACATACAAAAGGAAACTTGTAGCTTTATACTAGTGTTCGGCCAGTGTTCGGACATACATGCTGACAAGTTCTTTAGAACATTGTAAACGGCTTATAACATTGTTTAGAGTTCTTTTGTAGTGTGCGGAAAGTTCTTACTTTCATCTAAGATATTTCAGTTTGTATAAACCAATATTGTTGCTGCAGAAAGAACATTGTCTATATGCGGAAAGAACATTGTTGATGCGGTTTGTGCGCATGCCTTTGAATCGAAGACCTTCTTGAAAACGCCCAAACCATGTGTTTTCAATTACGTTGGACTTTTGATACATGACAGGCGCAGCTCAAAAGGAGGTTAAGTACTCGGAAGACCAGCGTTTGGACACGCGTAGTGACTTAGTGTATTGACAGTCAGTTTGTTATGCAAATACGCCTGTCAGTTCGTTTGAGGTTGCAAGCAATACGTTGCCGCCTTTCTGCCTCGCGAGCGCACGCGACAACCAACTCGCCAGCTCGGACGGACACGCCAAAGACGGACTCGCCGAGACACCAACCACAACATAAGCGAGACGCCACCCAAACAGAACCGATAGAAACGGCCAAACAGGACATGGGCAAGACACCGCCGCAGCGAAACGCCAAGCAAAATGACAGCGCCAGTAAAAGGAAGCGCTGCGTCGGCGCCTACCTTCCCACACCATGTCCGAAACATGACCCACCAACTGCCAAAACATGGCCGAGACACCACCTAGTTAAGCATTGACCGAGACAGCGGGACACCACCGCCCAGGCTGGGGGCCGCGGATCCGGCGGCGCCCAAGCCGCCGCCGGAAAGAAGGTGTACAACAGCTATCGCTATTGGGGAGACAGGTGGCCAATACATCCTATGGGATCCGTTTTCGTACCGAACCTCAGGTTCGGTGAGGACGGAAACACTGGTTCGGTGCCAAGTCACGTCGGGTCGTTCGTCGTACGGAACCTAAGGTTCGGTACGAAAACGGATCCCTTTTTGGGGCATCAGAAAGACGACCAAAAGGCGACTCCAACTCTTGTGGAGAAACATTGAGACTTCACTTCTGTGACGTCCCTGCGGCGACTCCTCCTGTTCCGTATGGACCAAGAGAGGTAGCCAATGACCTGAACTAGGGCCGCAACCTGGGGTATCCCAACTGGGATAGTCTGGGTTCTGACCCACCTCTGTTGGGATACATGATCGGATGGGCCGGACACCAAGTATACCCTGATTCCCGAAAATTCCCGCTCGGCCGCGTCGCTCTCCACCGCGAAGCCGGGCGCGTCGCTTCGAATAGCCCGAGCGTCAATCTCGGCATAGGTCGTCAGCGGAGTGTGTCGCACCACATTGTATGCCAGCTGCACTCCCATGCTGACCTCATAGTCATGGTGTGAAAAGGGAAGAGAAAAAACAATAAAAAACATACACACACCGCATGGCCCCAGCAACCGTCGACAAATGCCTACCTCCTGCCATCTGTCCACCCGTCTGGGCATGGAGTCGGGGACTCACCTCCCCACAACTGGACTCTGAGGTCGACCGACCGGTCGAATCCTGTGGTCACCTGCCAAGCGTTTTGGGGGAGCTGCCGCCCGCCACCGGGAGTTTTTGTACCGAGTTCCTGGAGTGCTTTTAGCCGCCAGCACCCCATCGCTACGCTACGCTTTTTGCTGGATTCACCTCTACATGGGCGCAACTCAGGGATGGTCCAAACCCATGGGGGTTCATCGTCTTTCAGCGCTTCTACCACCGAGGACGACTTGGCCCCCATTCCAAGACCGGAGTAATCCCACTTACCAACCAGGCCAGCGCGTCAACGCCGCGGTCATCCCAGTAAGAAACAACTCGAATCGGTTGAAAGAACCTGGAACAAATGAACTTAACTTTGATAACAAATTGAACTTAACTTTGATCACAAATGAACTTCACTTTGATCATCTATGGCAGTGCAGTCATGGCTTTTTGGGGTTATTTTTGACCGGTTGGTTCCACCCAAAATGAACCGAACCGATCACCAAACATATGTCAACCTACCAGGGCGCCTGGAGTTCCATTCTTTGACCTGTCGAAAAGGGGCTGGACCAAAGCTGACTGGTGCTTAGTAGGGAATAGGGGAATGGATCCAGAGGGGCCTACAGGGGTGGTTCATTCCCTCATTCCCTACTAAGCACCAGTCAGAAAGGTTGACAACAAATCCGTCACCCCAAAAACCAGCGCAGGACGCCACTACCACAAGCGGGACCAAAGGTGGACAGGACTCGTCGGACTCGTCGGACCAGCGCAGGACGGACCAAGGAACTGTTTCTGTCCAGATCGAAATCTTCGAAAGACCTTCTGCCGAACGTGCTTGTAAGACGGCAACCACCTGTCGTGAAAGGAAAGCAACATGGTTTGCTTGCAAACACGCACGGCGTCAATGATTTGGCATGGAAAGGAACAGTAAGGATGTGCGAGTACAACAGTTCAAGCCGGAAAGTGTGAAGAAAGAACCTGACAGCGTGTCGAAGTTCTCTCCGGTGTCCCTTGTATTCATGGCTGGATACCTAAGGAGAAGTATCGCAGGCTGGCTTGATGCAAACATATGCAAAGGGGCGTCTTCCCCATCAATCATCTACATCATCTACCAGGTTACCAAAAACAAGATGGAACCCACGAACCCGAATGCAAACACAGCTCCAACCCCCACACCCCCAACTATAAACGGGAACCCTTCGAAACGCAATTCGGGGAAAATTCAAATCAACGTTGCTGGCCTTCCTATAGCTGACATGAGGACTTTTGCTGGCCTTCCTATAGGGTCATCTCACCAGGACCGGACCAAGCACGACCGACCGAAGGTCGCCAATGCGTCTCCACGACCAGAGCGAACGACCCATCCTTTGGGTCCCTATTACCTGGTTTCAGTGGATGATGATGGTTAGGTTGCGGGCCTTGTTCAACAATGATATAATTTATGGTTTACTGACTGTTACAGGTCATACCGATGGTAATAGGACAAACCCTACCCGTACCCATCCCCATTTAGACCACATATAGCTTTCACATAGCTTTCGAGCGTCGATGTACACTCCATGACACAGCAGCGGAGACTCATCTCTTGTCACATCTCGAAAGCGACGGGCTGATCAGTGACACATCTTTGCAAGCTGCATGTAATGTAGAAAAAGAAGGTACATGCCAAGGTACCTTGCAAGCTGACTCTATATCTCATATCTAAGGTACCTAATTATCTTGTTCCATGCCAAAGAATGTCCAAAACAAGCAAGAAGCACCGCGCAATGGCGATCGTTGTATGTCGTTCTTTTCGCCAAGGCATCGCCGGCTCCAGATCATCAATCCCCGTCCGTGCCTGCGGAAACTTGCCCAAGCATGAGCCACCAATGACCTCAGCAACAGCGGACATGAACTGGATTGCCAAGGGAACTATCTGGTCCAACCATCAAGGAACGCTGTGGGTCATGGCACCAGGAGACCAACCAGGTTATCCCTCACAATGCATGGACTGGTTCCAGGTAAGTCACGGCTCATCCCCTGCGACCCGAAGATCTGGCAGTCCACACCAGGCATGCTGTGCCAGTGCCAGGCATTAGGCAGCACCAAGTCTTCACCAACAGCTGCCCTTTTTAGGCTCAAAGTCTGGACCCAACCCGTTCGCCTTAAGTTTTTTGGATGCCAAATACAACGAGGACAGTTGGACCCAAGAAAAACATGTAGCCTGTAGCGGTTGCTTCCGGTTATGCTGGCCGCCTCTAAGTTGAAACACCTAGACCTGCGCCAGGCGCAAGGGTTGCTTTGACCTGTGTGACACAACCACAACCTGTTGGCCCAGCTGAAAACTGCTGAAAACCACAAGGAAGCACAACCTGTTGGTCCCCGCCAGCATCCCCTGCGACGATGGGTGAAAGGCACAAAGAAGAACACCCCAAAGCGACGATGGGTGAAAGGCACAAAGAAGAACACCCCAAACTCTTGGCCAAGAAATTGTGGCTTGCCTTGCCAACTCCCCCCCCACCCAAAATGTCAGTCACGTGGGAGGACTGGTTGTTCCAGAGTGTTCCAGCCATCTGGCCCTCGGCTGAAAGTCCAAGCGCTGAGGCTGTGGCAGCGACGGAAAGCGTTTTGGACAACAAGAGACCGAAGTCGAGATCTGTCCTGCGAAGCTCACCCCGTCCGCAGGTGACGGTGGAATCGAACCAATATAGAGGAGGTGTTGGGAAAAACACAACAACATGGCATGGCATGGAGTTCAGTATAATGACATACCGTGCGAAAGTGCGCAACTGGCAGCAGCGCCTATTTTACCGCAACAAAGAACAAAAGTGTCATGCTCGTGAAACGTGAAAACTCGTCTGGTTGCTCCTTCGGTTTGTGCTGTCATCCTGGCTGGGGTCATGCTATGTAATCCGCATTGGCAGGCCGGAGTCGTGCTGAGACATGTAATGCTTCAAGCTATGCCTTCTCGCGGTTCAGACCGGCTATCAAATGCAAACGGAAATGGCCACATGGATTCGAAACAACTCAAATGCTGCAAATGCCACCGAACCGAGGGGATCTTTCTCACTGATTATTTTTCTTTTGGTTCGAAACCATCGGAACTCGGAGGTTCCTTTGCGACTTCTGCTGCTACCTGAGCTTTCCTGGCATCACGTGCCATCTGCTTGAATCCACTGTCATCTTTCTTGACCTTGCGGTTGAGTCTCTCCTGTTGCTTCTTTTCCTTCAGTGCCCTGTTCTGCTCTGTCTGTATCAAACTAAGGCGACCTGATTTGATGAATTGATGCAACAAACTCTTGTCAACATTTGCTTTGGTCAAAACGTCTGCAATGTTCTGCATGCCGTCTATCCACCTGACTGAAGCACCCGGTCGCTTAACCGTTTCTCTCAACAAAGCTCCTTCAATGGCCATCCGCTTATCGGTGCTAGTTGATGAAGCGTCCTTGGCAAGATAGTCGTAAACCGATCTAGCGTCCGTGACATAGACGCGCTGCCGTCTTTCAACAACTTCTGACCAATTTCGCAAATCCAAATCTCCAGTCAATGCCTCTTCCAAAAGAACTGCTATCCAATCACCTGCTTCCACTGCTTCTGCTAAATGACTGGCCTCTGCAGCTAATGTACTGCGGCAAACTCTCTTGGTTAAGCTGGAGTGGTAGGAAATGATATTGCAACGACCTTCTTTCCCTTCAAGAACCTGAGGGTCTGCAAGCAAAACAAAATACCCACCAATGGACCTATAGCGAAGAACGCTGTCCTTCTCAGGAGTACCGTTGGCATGACCTGAGTCTGCTAGGTGTATGATGACACCATTTCTGACATCAACATCTGACCAATAGCGAAGTCGGAAATCTGCACCTCTTCGAGCCATCCCCATGTAACTTTTCAAGCGAACAAGATCTGCTACACAAGGATCTGCCTTTGCTCTCTGTATGCAGCCATTTTCAAATGCCAAATCACAACGAAGTTGTCGACTGAGCCACCCCAACTCACCTGCACAACTGTTGAAGAGTTCCTTCTCCTGTAAGGTTAAACTCGATTCAAGCTGTTTTGCTCGTTGGCGGTCAATCGAAATCTTCTTCATGGACATAGCATAATTTCTCATGGAAACATCAATGTGTCCATCTGGCTGCTGCTTCACCTCTCGCCCACGGAAAATAAAATCCCGAACATGGTTTGTAGCAAACTCTAGCGAAAGGGCAGACTTAGCAAAAGCTCGCTGCATATAGGCCTCCTCAACACCGCCTTCAAGATCGTCCACATGGGTGACTAGGACTCCTCTCAAGCGTCCTCCGTCTCGGAGGTAGAAAAGCGCTGGCTCAAGGCGTGATTCCTCCCAACCGTCTGCAATGAGATGCTCACGCAATGCTAGCCAGAAAAGCCTGGCGGCTTCTGCAAACCCGTAGATTGCTTTGTTCGCCCTCAACAACTGGCCTGGTTGGAGATTGGGCAAACCGCCACGCGGCTGTTCAAGATAAACTTCTCTTCCAACTGACTTCCCACTGAAATATGCATTCTTGATGTCCTTTGCAAGAAGTGTGAACTGGAAGTAAGCCACTAGGCACAGACAAATACTTTCTGCAATAGCGCTTGCTGTGGGGGCATCTCGACGAAAAGCTCCTAAGGCCTTATCCTTAAAACCCTGAACAACAAGTCTGCTCTTTGCTTTGAAGTTCTGTCCAACAAGCCCATCATTCTTGTTTGTTCGCACCCAACGTGTAGGCGCAATCAAATCTGGCTTTGTACTGCGGATCTCTGCACTGTCGGCTGGGCTGAGCACCGAACAAGCATCTTTAGACAACCAAGCTTCCCATTCTGTCTGATCGGAACCACCGGGTCCTGTGAAAAGCTTCTGTTGCACCGATGAAAGTTCACTCAGTTTGATTTCCTTGCGGCCTCGCTTCTTGACTGGGTTTTCAACCTGCCCTGCGGCAAATGCTCTATCTGCAAGTCCGGAATACCTCTCTTCAAAATCGTTTCGTTTGACTCCGAAAAGAAATTGAGACCTGCTGAGCTGCCGCTGCTGATAAAACTCCTCAAAACGATCATACTGTTGTGATGCCCTTGTCTTCAAGAAATTCTTTGATTCAACTGCCATATATGCGAACAGGTTCTCATGCGCATAGTCCGTCTTCTCAGGCGCCTCACCAACTCGAAGCCTCTTGGCCTCGCGTTCAGCTGGTTCCTCCTCGGCCTCAACCAACGGTGAAAGCTGTCGGGTTGGTCTTGTGTGATAATCATCCAACTCCGGATCGAACTCATCACCTGCAGGAATCGCTTCTGGTGGTAGTCGAGGTGGAATATGTATTGGAAGACTTTCTGCTTGCTTCAAGAGTTCTGTTCGCCTTCTCTCGCGCTCTGTCTCCCTTTTCTCACGCATCTTCTTGAAGAAATCACTGGATTGTGCATCACGTCTAGCATCTCGCTCTGATTCATACTTCATTCGAGCCATCGAAGTCGAACTGGAGCTCATGTCCTCCGGTTCCGCCTGGGCCGGCATGGGAACATCGGCCGGAGGGGCGGCTTCTGGCGCCGGAGGTGTCTCCTCGATCTCCTGCTCATCTAACTCGGATATGTCTGCGTTTGTATCTTCAACAGCTGGAACTTCATCTGCCTTGTCTGGGACTGGGCCTCGTCTCAAATCAAGAAAACCGGTTCCTCCGGCAGCTGGAGCGGTGTCAATGAGTGCCTGTTCGTGACTGACTGCCATCCATCGATCAAGCTCCTCTTCATATGCTCTGCTCAAGTGCTCTGGAGAAACTGCTATCAAGATTCCACGGTGTGAAAGCCACACTGTTGATTGACCCTCATGTCCGATGACACGGGCTATGCCGCGCCAATTGTGCGGTCCTGGTTGACGATCGCCACGATCATAGTAAAAGACATATGTCCCAACAGGAAAAGGACCACGCGTCGGACGGATCTTTCTCAACTCTGCCCTTCTCAAAGCTGAATCGTTCGCGGCTCTTGCAAAACTCTCTCTGGCGGCGGCCCTCAATTGATTTTGACGAAAGAACCTGGAACCAGGTGTCTCCGCTAAGGCCATCATGCCTATACGGTGAGCTTCACCTTCATCAGAAAGGGCTGCCGGCAGACGCAGGTCACGACCTGTGACCCACTGGCACGGCGAAAAGCCATGCTGCCGAGACATGGAGTTCTTGGCCATGTTCACAGCCGCCGTTGCAAGCAAAAGGTCATCTCGTCCACTCACCTGCTCGGACCAAACAACACGTTCCAGCGTGGCCTTCCAGAGTCCATTGTGCCTCTCGACTTGGCCAATCTGCCAGGGTGATGCCTTTGCGGCTGTTGTAAAATGGCATCCATGTGAATCGAACTCGATTGAAACATCTGAGAGAAAGTACTTGGCACGGTCTGCTATCACTCCCCGTTCAGGGTATCCTGCCCACGACAACCAATGTGATGATAATGCTTCAAGCAAAACATCTCCTGTAGGGTTTTGATGTGTCTGGGGCAATAATGCACAAACATGGAAACAAGTACCTTGATCAAAGATGCTCAACCAACTCCATGATTGCCCGTCTGCGTCTTTGTCTGTCAAAATGTCCAGTCCAATCTGTACATTGAAATCATGAACAAGAGGCAGCTTCGAAGGACGGGGTTCCTTCGGATTCTCGTGCAAACGCGGGCAATCCTCACATCGAAAGAGTCTTACTGCCTTGATTGCTGTATCTGATGCCTTTGTAATTCTCAATGCTCTCAACATTGCCGGAACACTGGCATGCCCAAGATTGACGTGGATGCGTTTCACTGCTAGTTTGAGCTCTCTAGGAAGTGCTGTCCATTTGCGCTGCCGCTCTGCTTCCTTAGCTGCAAAACGATCATCACGCTCTTCTGCCAAGCCTTCACCAAGAAATTTTCCGAACACTGCAGCATACAGCCTCCGGGACTTTGCAACGAGTGGCCTCACCTGTGATGATGGAGCCATCTTTGCCCATTCCTCCCAGCTCGTGGACAACACCTTGTTGTTTGCTAGAAGAATGTAGGACCGTCGCAAAGGAACTTCTTGTGGCCCAGCATGGGGCTGTGGTTTGCGCATCCGAACTGCCTTGTTTGACAACAGGATCAACTGAACATCGGCCTGGGCCGACTCATGTGATATCCATCGCTCTCCAAGATCTGAACTCAAATCAAGCTTGTGCCAACCATCAATGTCATGCTCCTGAACAAAATCAAAGGCTTCCTGCAAGAGAACTTTGGTTTGCTCTTCCGGAACATCTTGCCAAAATCCTCGTTGCAACTGTCTTGTAGGCTCACGCTTCCTGCGCAAATCCGTTCCACCTGGTGTCCTAGGCGCAGGCCTGCCTCCCGGAGTCATGGGAACAGGTGCGACCACCGGTGCGGACACATCAGGCATGGGAATGTCCTCTTGCTCATCATCTCCAAGAATCTGTAGGCGAAAAATTGATTTGCCCTTCCAAAACTCTTGTGTCTCCTTCACAGGTTGTTGCCACCAAGTTGAATCGTCCCTCTGCTTCTGAAAGCTTTCCACGAAATTAAGCTCGGTGACTCTGCCGTCAAGAATATTTTCAAACTTGACACCTGCTGGAAACTTCATTTGAGGTGATGGCGAAAAGAACTTTCTGCGAGGAAGATTGTGGTGTCGAATTAATCTGTCGCCGTCCAACTGCCACAAATCTTTGTAAACACCTGTGACAAAAGGATCCTCATCTGAGTTCATTGCCTCGTCTTGCTGATCCTCTGCTGCTAAAGCATGTTGACCGTCACGGAATGACATGCTCAACGCATAATCTATCTCCATCTGATGCTTGACACCACTGCAAATTGCAGCACACAGCGCCTGGGGGTATCTGGCAGCTTGAGCGGATCGGAGTCCTCCACGATTGCTGCCTAAGAGCTGTTCGTGAGCTCCCCAAGCACAACGGCACCTCTTGCCGACCTTGTTGAGTATGGCTTCAGAGTTTGACAACCAACCTGTGGGCTTCTTGACGGGCTTCTGGGAAACAAGGTCTCGATGACCATAAGCACATTGGTCTCCAATAACATACTTGCCTGCTGCTTCTTCTAACAATCTTGCAAGAATGTGTTCAAAGATCCACGCCAAACTACCTGCTGGGTTCTCAACAAGGTAATACCGTTGCTTGGCATGTTGCTTCAAACAAATGGAAACGACCAACTGCAATGTCTTTGCTCCCAACGTCTCTCGCCAATGCTCCCAATCGACCGACGGACTGAGGTTTGTAAGCATTGACCAAAACTTGCAATCAAATGCTATGAGAACAAGAAAGGGGTTGTGCTCATCTAAAACACGGTGCACCAAACCTCGGCCATATGAAGCCAACAAATCATATCCGTCTACCAGGTCTAGAGGCTGACTGTTCGTCCACCCAAAATGCCCTGCTGCAAAACGGGTTGTGACAAAACTCCCACCAAAAGGCTCAAACAGAACTGTTGTTGTAAAATCGAAAGTGCTGAACTGTTCTGCTAGGCTATACTCTCTTCTCAAAGCTACCCACATTCGAGTGTCGGCCGCCTGAACTCGTCTTGCTGCCTTCTCAAGCTCTCGACGTCGACGTTCCGACACCTGTCCAATGGAATCCTTGGACGACAAACAGCGGGCGGCATGCGAAGCTTCAATCACTTCCTTGGCTACTTGGCGAGGTTCTGGGATAAAAGGTAACTCTGTCAACAAACTCATGCGGGCTTCCTCACCATAATAAACCAAAAGATCCTCTCTCTCTGAAATCAACCGTGGTTGTGCCAAGTCATGATCCTTGATGCCAAGTTCTTCCTTGTAACACACCTCAATGGCCAAATGTCGGGACTGTGTCACAAGCATGGGCAACTGTAGATTCAAGCTTTTGACCTCAACCAACTGCTCACGGACATGTAGCACCATATCTAAAGCTGTCATCGCAGCTATAGAAAGAGGAAGGGGCGTCGAACCACTTGTGATTTCTGCACTGAAAACCTCACCTTTGTGACCTTCCAAAAAGATCGGAATCCTCCAAACTGTTGCACGCTCATCTGTCGTTGCACCATTGGCGAAATGGAAGGACTTGGTAGAGGCAGTCGGGCTGCAGCTCATACCTTCTGGCAAAGTGGATTCGTAGGCCTCACGCCACTTCTTGCTGTGCATACAGCTTGTGCAAGCCGTGTCCAAGAGACAAACTCGTGACTCATCAATTCCTCCTGGAGGAGGGGCCGGACCAAAATGGTGATGTCCCGGCTCATCTAACGAATTCTGTTGCGGGGGCACTGTATTGGGCTCTCCTGAATTCTCACCACGCTCATGCAGTCCACCATCTTCTGTCATGTAGGCTATGATGGTGGGTGAAATCTCATCAACTGCTTGGCTCTCACGGCGACCGGCTGACGCCGGCCTGGCTGATGGGGCTGCCCATGTGCGACACCACCTCAGCGAACTTTCGAGTGCCTCGGCATCGAGGATACTCGTAGCAGCCGAAGAACAATCCTGCATCTTCCCTGTTGCGACGAAGGACCATAGGATGACCGCCAAGAGGGCAGCCGAGCCACGGCGCAATCTGCCCAACCGCCATGCCAGCTGGGACCAATACGCCTGTTCTGGGGTCCAGGGCCGGATGCTCCGTCGACCTGGCTGGGGATGGCGTCTTCGGACTGGTCGTGGTACGAAAAGTTCCTGCCACTGGGGATGACACTCGTTCAGGGCTATGGCTGAAGCTCAACTGGGTTGCTGGGCTGAACTCCTCTTGACTCTCACCGTGAACCGGCTGGTCATTCTCGGTGGCATAGGAATAACCACGGGATGTCGTGGCCTTTGGCTTTGCTGCTGACTTCTTGGCTGTCGCCTTGGGGCGTGCTCCTGGGGTGATCGGCTTCTGTGATGAGGCTGTTCCAGCTTCCAATGAATCCACTCTCAACTGAACGAACTGCTTGGTGCAGCCCTTGCGAGGAACTGGTTCTCCTTGGAAGAAAGCTTCGAGCCGATTCTGCAACTCTGACTTGTTGCCTGAGGTCGCAATCCCCCAAGCTTCGCACTCCGATGACAGCTCATAGACCTTCATCTCCATCAACTTGCCCGGTCGAACATCCTCAAAGCTGGGGACCAACAATGTTCGGATCTGACTGGCCGGAATCTCAATCTCCACCTTCACGGATACCTTGGTTGGGCTGTCTGAAACTATGGGCGTAGCTGTTGGGTAGCTCTTGGCATAGGTCATGTCATTGATGGGAGTGGTAGACGATGCACCGACGGATGACACGGCCTCCCATTCCGACTCTGATGCCACTGGCACGGCCTTCTTGCGCCTTGCTTCGAGGTCAGCATCCAGCATGGGATCTGCCTCCTCCAGCTCTTCCTTGACTTCGCCGACCATGTTGCAAAACTCTGTAACATCTTCATCATGCTCATCAAAGTCCAGCGAAAAATAGGAAGGCGCTTCACCCACAAGGTATGCCTTGCCTTTCGACTTGCCCTTCCCTGAGCCCTTCTTCTTGTCAATCTTCTTCGGTCCTATCTTGGATGAGGTCTTGGCGCAAGCCTGATCGCCGGCCCAATGGCCGATCTTGCCACATGCTGCACAACGAGTGCGTTGCTTCTCCTTCTGAACTGCAGCCTTGCGATCTTCAATACTGATCTCACCCTTCACATCGCCATGGAAAAAGCCTCGGCTCTTCTGCAAAGTGCGCAAATGCTTGCGGCTCTCCTTGTAGGACTTGCGCTGCCGATCCATGGCCGCATAGGCCTCGAACACTTCATCATCTCCTGAGGCTCCAGCATCCGAATTGACCTCTCTGGGGTCTTCTTCCTCATAGTCCTCAACTGCAAAGGTGTCTTCAACAGTTGCTTCCGATGCTGTCTCATAATTCTCATACTCCTCAGGGATGTTGGGCTCTTCCGTGACTGCATGGGCATAATGCTTCTTCTTGTAACTCTGATGTCCTCGTTGATGGTTTCCCCAATCACGGTGGCTGTGTGACTTCTCACGCTCGTGCACATCATAGTACGACACACGCAATGCCTGCTCAACGCCCTCCATGGTGTAGTTGGACTGGTTGGACAACAAAATCTGCCTTCGGTCATCTTTTGACAATCCAACATGCTTGAGGAGGAAATAGGTGCGAAGGTCTTCAGACATCGTCGTACTTCCATCCGTGATATCTTGCAGATCTGACCATGCCTGGGACTGCATACGAAGGAATGCATCAATGCTCTGACCCTTGCGACGATGGCACTTTTCGAAAAAGGTGTCGAATGCCTCGGTCTTCTTGATCACGGTCACCTTCTCAATGCTTTGCAAACATTTGAACACATGTTTGTAGCCATCTTTCTCTCGCAGCTTGTCGATGTCTTCGATCAACACCTGGCAACATCGCCAGGCTTCGCCATGCAGGGCGTCCAACAGCTTCTTTGCGAACCTCTGTTGCTTCTTTGCGAGATCTCGGGCCTCTTCTTGTGCATCTTTTCCATCACCTTCCAAATTGGCATATGCAAAAAGGACTCTTCGACGATATTCCTTCATCAGGCCAGGATCTGCGCCGCTGTAATGCGGCACTCCGTCCTTGTCCACGACCACTTCGTCGTCTCGATACAGGCCTTTGTAGCCAGAATCATCTCGATTCGCCATGGCCAACGCAGCTGGAGCCGGTGTATTACCGGCTCCGCTACCAGTGCGAAAGTGCGCAACTGGCAGCAGCGCCTATTTTACCGCAACAAAGAACAAAAGTGTCATGCTCGTGAAACGTGAAAACTCGTCTGGTTGCTCCTTCGGTTTGTGCTGTCATCCTGGCTGGGGTCATGCTATGTAATCCGCATTGGCAGGCCGGAGTCGTGCTGAGACATGTAATGCTTCAAGCTATGCCTTCTCGCGGTTCAGACCGGCTATCAAATGCAAACGGAAATGGCCACATGGATTCGAAACAACTCAAATGCTGCAAATGCCACCGAACCGAGGGGATCTTTCTCATACCGCAAAAAATGGCTTCTCAGAGAACAACATGTGTCCGATGTGTCCGCTTCAGGAGAAGCTTCCGGACGCTTCTGGACTGCCCGGACTGCCCACTTCGGTGGACCTGTTCATTGGAATGGTATAGAACAAAGATCGCTTTCAGAAAATGAAGCACATGCACACCCCGCTGTCCCGCACCCAAAAGGAAAATAACACGGCGCCGGTCCGGTCCTCCCTTGCAGCAACTCGGTGATCAGGAAATCGTTGGAACGTGCCTGGGGTGCACGCTGAGCCCATTCGCAGCTTTTTGTGACGTTTTCTGACGGCCATCCATGTGTTGCCGGGGTCGGAGAAGTCCCTAGCACAGCTCCCGGTCGGACATCGCGGCTTCAGACTTCAGACGCTGGCGTTTGCCCCGTCTTGCATGGGGTCTCCCTTCAAAGGCTTTTGAGTCCAAAAAGACTAGCGTCCGGCCTTCTGGAGCAGTGTGAGATACACCATCCCCACGAGCACGCCGTGCCAACGCCGCGCCACGCGTGGGCCCTTCATCGCCGACGTGGGATGCTTAGTATGTGGAAAAAAGAGACTAAACAGTACTTGCTGAAGAATCCCTTTGCATCAGGATTTACGAGAAAAAGTAACAACGTGGGAAATGAATCAAAATGTTGAAGTACTCAGTGATTGCAGTATATCAGTATATCCAATCCGGATCCGGCAACTATATAACCCAAAATTGGAGAAAGCAGTCCTTCGAGCCATAGAATCCACAGGCGCAAGCTCTCAAGACTATATATAATATGACTAATGCTTCGAGGAGTTAGCAAACATCACATGACTGTTGTCTAGGACTGCGTTCGCATGCGCGGATATCGTCTTTCTCTTCGTTGATGTGGATGGTTTCGGGGTTGGACTCTTCGAGAAGCATCTAACTGCTGCAAATTGAGCCGGTTGCAATCTTCAAATACCGCCCCCCATTGGCCCTTCGGCCCCTTTTCGCTTCCACCGAGCCATAGCCATGGATCCAAGCGCAGGGTGTCCTGCATCACTTTCGCAGTGAACACAAAAAAATCGATCTAGTCCATGACATCCGGTGGTCCACGGCGTTCTGCTATGAAAGCCTCCGTCGGACTTGGTGCTCAGCTTCGCTCGTCGTTCGATTCGCGTGGTCTTCGGATCCCATGTCGTTTAGCCGTCCGTCTTCGACGCAGAAACCCGGGCGTGGGGCAAACTCTCCCAGTGGTGGCTCCACAAAACCGGTGAAACCTCCCTCAAAAGGAACGGAGGAATGTGTTTCATAGGGATCCGTTGTCGTACCGAACCGGTTCGGTGAGAAGGTAAAGGCACTGTGACGTAGGTGCCACGTCGGGTCGTTCGTCGTAGCGAACCTGAGGTTCGGTACGAGAGATGGATCCCTAGGGTGGGTGTGTGTGTGCCATACTGTTCCATCGCCATCCTTCCCATCGTGGCAATTGAGTTAACTGAAAACCAATGTCAGAGTGTGTGTGTTTTGTTCCAATCTTTGAAGGTCTTCACCTAACACAAGGCTTGCACCATGCTACTCGCGATGCTACCCACTGGCGCGCACGACTGCTTAAGGCAGCTTCCGCGCTGCCTTAAGGGGCTTCAATATATTCGCTGTATGTTGCTTGGTTTCAATTGTTGGATCAAGGTGTCAAGGAAGCAACAAAAACAAGTGCAATAAGTGCAACGCTGAACAGTCATACCGGGGTTCTTTTAGCCCTCTTTTGGGCGAGGAAGAGTAAGCAGAAGACACCCAAAACAACACCCAGAAGATGCAAGGAAGGCAATCGACCAAAAACGGAATCACTCTGGAATCACTAGCACCAGTGCTGTTTGAAGCAAATGTCCCAGAGTTGTTTCCTTTAGCTGTGGCAGGGACACTTAAGAAACCACTGCATGTTCAGCATGGGGGCACCCCTTCCTGATTTGTGGGCAACATCATACACGATTGAACAAACACGTCACACAATTGAGACCTTCAGACTCTATAGGTCTACATCTATACATCCCTGATCTTCACTACCTGGAAAACTCCTCTCCCCAAGCGTACCAAGCACGACTGTTCAACACAATCCCATCGGCTCCTGAAGATGATCTCCCGGCTCGTCTTCACGCGCCGGATCCGTCTAAACCGGCGATGGACCAGCGCTGGGACATGGACGTGGAGTTCCGTTGTGGCGGTGGATGAACCACGAGTCCCACGGTGGTGGATGAACAAGTCCATACGCATCGGCTCAGCTTAGATCTTTAAAACGGCTTAGCCATGTGGCCGATGGCTTCCAGCTTGAGATGACCTGCTCAGCGATAGCGAGCGACAGCGACATCTACACAGCACAGGCGAACTTAAAACACCGTCGGATTCTAAGAGATGACCTGGTTGTTTTACCATCTGTGTCTGATCGGATTCCTACTTTAGAGATGCCCGCACCACGGCCTAGCGTGTCTTCGCCGCGCCGATGGCAACGGGTCCAAGGAGTGCTTCTTCTTCGTTCTTTTTGTAGAGCACCTCTTCCTGCACTTGGAAGAGCTTTTCGGCAAAAGTTGACACAAATCCCAGGTGTTTGCCAGTTGCGATTCTGGCTGTTGCAGTAGTTGGAGCGAAGCTCTGATTCTTGCATGCAGTGGAGGGGACCACGATGTGTCGCCAGGAAGTCCTAATTCGTGCGACCGTCTGGATGCCGCAAGATGTGGCAAGAGAAGCTTCCAACCAGTCAGGCTCCAAATGAAGCTATTAATTCTGTGGGAGCCTACGGAAGCTGAACTGCTCAATGACGCATCATCTGTGACTTTCGTCAGGTGTTGTAAGTTGTGACTGCAAATCGATCTGCTGTGCCACGACACCTGGCATGTATGCAGAAGAACTCCAGGTCCAACAGTTACCCTCCGTGTCGGCTTTGGGCATGCCTTCACGCTGAAGATCTCCACAGGATCAGTTTCTGACAAATACGAACTTGGCCTATACCAGGATCCATAAGGGGTGCTTAATTGACCGAATAGGCAACATGCCTTTGGGGGCCCTGGTAGAATCCGAAACACTACCGAGCTAGCTACTGGACAAGCCTTCCCAAACGGAAGCAGCAGCTCTCTGACTCTCAAGAAAACGTTTCCTGAGTTTCTGGGTACACTGCATCTGCGGCAAGGAGGCTTCTGCCCCTGCATTGCTTCTGGGGTGCTTTTCTTTCGGCCACTGCGGTCGGTCTTAGGATGAATGTTCAGCTCCTGTGACGTGCAAAATCTGGACATCGACCACTTCGAACACCGTCCGCGGCCCAAGAACACCCCGCATCGTTGGCCCTTCGCTCGTGGCCCACCTTCGTTCCGCACCGGAGCTGAAACCAACGAAGGCCAAGGCCCAACCCGTCGGGCGATGAGTGCGACTGGCCTCCACCAGTCTGAGGTGTCGAGATGTTCGGCCCAAAATCATTCAGCTGAGTCAGCGGAGCGCCACACGTGATGCACTGGCCACACTGACCGAGTCAACGACAAGGAGGTCAACGAACGGAAAGAAGGTGACCAGTGGGAACCGCGCAACAGGCCAGCATGAAGCAACTGACCGTCACGGTGTTCAAAGGGCCGCGCCCATGAGCCTGCCCAGTTCAATCCAGAAGTGTGAAGCCAGTGTTCTCTGCACCACCTGCACCGTGTCTTGCTTGTCCAGTGCGCCTTGCACTAGACCTCAATTTATGGAGCTCTGGAAGGTGCTTGGCTGACGGATTTAAAGCTTACCGTCCTATGCGAAGGTATGATGATGGAATTGCCTCAGCAGCAAGGCCTCTACAGCCTTTTCATGGTCAGTTTGCAGAGTTGCCAGTCTCCGTTGAAGCAACCCCTTAGAAGACATGATCTTTTGAGATAATATGCCCTGATGTATATGGTTGCCAAGGCTGAGCACGTCAACCTAACAGAAAATTGAAACCGCTCCAGCCTATGCACAGCCTATGTTGTCGCTTGCGCTAGCATGAATCTTCCTATAGAGCTCCAGATGCTACTCGCCTGATGTGAGATTGGAATCTCATCTTCAGCAGCAAGGCCTCTGGATATTTTTCACTGTCAAATTGCAGGGTCGCCAATCTCCTCTGAGGCAACGTTGTATAAGACGCTCAGAATTATGGAAAGTATGCCAAATAGTTGCCTTTTCAAGAACAAATGGCGTTACATTGGCGTTACGGTGTCTTTTTCCAAAGACGGCGTTTTTTGTTGTGACCAGCGGACACCGGCAAACACCAAAATAGAAACGTCATTTCTTGGCTTCCAAACGGCGTCTTTAGGCATCCAAACGGACGGATTTGTTCAGTCTTTTTGTTGTCAATTGGCAGGGTTGCCAACCTCCTCTGAGGCAACGATGTATAAGACAATTGTGGAATGTATGGCCTAATCTATATAGTTTCCATACTTGCCCATTTCAATCGATCAGAAATAAAAGCCCTCTATTCTCTGCAACACCAGCACGAGTTCTCTTTTTGTCGACGGAGCTCCCGATGTTGCTCAGCTACCGAA